TTATCATGTTGTCATCAATATGACAGACAATATGTGACGTTCTGCAGAATGTCTAGATCCCCTTGGACTACGTTAGCAGAGAGTGAGAGACTGTCAATGTATACCATTGTTGGTCCCATGTAAATATACACTGTTGCTAATACATCTTCCTAATGAGATTGGAAAAGAGTGAGTTTACCAGATCAAAAACTGCATACAACATACCTGAGGGTCTGCTCTAGTAAAGATACAACATCTGGCACAGCAGCTACAAGTGGGGCTACAACTTAGCGATGTTAGCAGGAGTCCCCTGGTATCTGCCATTATCCATCTGGACTTTGGAAATGCCAGACTGGTGAACTAAATGGGGATATGTTGGGACCATCTCCTGGTATCCTTCAGTCTTTGGGAGTGGCACTAATCCCTGCCATTTGCCCTGGGATTCAGTATCAGTTTTGTTGTGTTAAATTGTTGGAGTGGCGTATAGAGATTTAACTGTTTCCACTTTGTTTTTCCTACTGTAGTTTTCCACAGGGCAAGGAACCATAGGAGGATTTTCCCACTGCTAAGTACATTCATTTTTATTATACATCTGGAGCTGGGAAATGACCCCTGGATGGGTCCATGAACTCAGTAGGTCCAGCATGAGACACATTTTGGTGAGAAATCCATTGATTTTCTGCCCCCCTTTACACCATTACTCTAACAGGAGCCAGGGTTGTGCTGTGGGTCCCTGGGTGTCATGTCCACTTGGGCTCCATGGCCAAGAGCTCTTGAATGTTCTAAGTGTCCCTCCTTTCCCAGTGTATGGTGACTCAAGTAAATCATGTAGGTCCCCTCTGAGATGGCCTGGGGAATCACAAGGGTGTCCAGTTGCCTTTGCGTTGCTGAGCGCTTCCATCAGTGTCTCCTGTGTTCAGCCCTGGCCCATGGACGATGGCCACCACTAGGGTCCCAGTGATGCAGGTGCCCTTCAGCATCCTGTGCTCATTGGCTCTCCTCAGGATCCCAGCTGGCTGGTGGGTTTTTCCACTTATATAGGTGACTCATTCCAGCACACCCACTTATCTGAACCTTTGGTCCCTCATCTCACCTCTGCAGTCTGGGCATCTCTATTTCATGGAATGTGACATTCATTTATTCTAAGCTTCCAAGAGCTATCTTGCCATTGTACTAGACCTACCTCCTGGTGTCCTTGCCAAGGTGTTCAGTCCTGTGTGATGGTAGCGTGTCCCATACTGACACACACTCCCTTATTCATCATCTCACAATCCTGGGTTCCTGGCTCCCCGGTCTGCTCTCCTGACCCTTGTGACTCATGTTAGCCAAATTCTGTAGTCCTTTGGGGTACAGTCCCTCTCTTGCCTTTCACAGACTCTACAGTGCCCCAGGCTGCTTATGCTGACATTGAGTCTGTGGGTCTGTTGACCAGGAGGGGTGTGGGGCAGCCTCAATGGAGAAGCCTTGTCTTGTAAGGCTCTTGCTTCCTTTGAAGGCTCTGCAGAATCATTCAGCAATGGGCGTCTTAGTTCCTATCTGCCGGAATAAAGAAGCACACACTTAGCGACTTAGAACAAGTTTATTATCTTACTGTTCTGGTGGTCAGAAGTCTGGAATGAGTTTTAGGGGCTAAAATCAATATGTTGCTAGGCTGGGTTCTTTCTGGAGGTTCTTGGGGGGAGAATCTGCTTCCTTCAGTTCTCCAGTTTAATTACATGGGCCCATTGGGACAATCCAGAGTAATCTCCTCATTTCAAGATCCTTAACTTCATCACATCTGTAAAGTCTCCTTTTATTCACAGAGACTGGGATTAGGATGTGGGCATCTTTGAGGGCCATTATTCTATCTACCACCGTGGCCTCTATTCTAAAAAATGGGGCAAGCCCCTTTTTCAGCCTGGAGGATTTAGGGAATCTGGGGTCAGGTTCCAAAGTGCACCTACTCAGGGGTAGGTCCCCCATCCCTAGTCTCAGAGTCTGCCTCCTCCGCTGGCATAGGCATGAGCATTTCCCGGGGCTGAACTCTCGCCTGAAGTTTTGTTCCTTATGCTTAAGTCACACCTGCCCTTTAGCTGCAGCAGACAGGGATCCCTTCAACTCTCACACTTTGCTTTCAATTGCTGAGGGATAGGTTTGAGCCTGTCCTTGTCTCTCCTTAATGCTCAGAGGCACTTGGTAGCTGCCATGTGATTCCACACTCCTTGTCTTTACCATCCCCCAACATTTCTCAACCCAGAGACAGTGCACCAGCTGTGCACCCCTGTATCCACCCCAGCTCACTGCAGGTGAACTGTTCAAGACCCCACAGCTGACACATACTGGAGACTGTCATCACCCCACCTCCAAGATGTGCGAGGTGCTCACTGCTGTACCATGATGAGTGATCCAACCCAGAAAGTACCCTTGGGGCTAGCGTCCTATGACCACTGCTGGTGTGTATGGTCTTGGGTCATGTTTCCTAGAAGAGCATGAGATAGGATTCACGAGGCTCATGGAAGGAGTGCTGGAGGAGATCCAGGCTGCAGAGCAAGGAAGCTGGCAAGGGTCAGTTCTGTGTGGGGACCTGCTTCACCTGATCATGGGTGATCTGGAGCACATGGCACAACCAATAGTCAGCTCACCTTGGGCCCCAAGCCCTGCGCCAGGCTGTCCCTGCCTGCTGGCTATTCTCAGGTGTGAGTGTGGGACAACCATCTCAGGAAGGGACTTCCGCTCCACTGAGGGCAAATACCTGCAGTAAAGAGCATCTGTGGGGATGGATGAGCAGCTCAGAGAAGGAGTCTCGGTTGAGCACCAGCAGCATCTCCGCAGTGGTTCCCTCTTTTTATAGAAAAAGATCATATACTCAGGCTCTTGGAGTGTACATTTCAAGTGGTGGGAGGTGTGGAGTTTAGCACCTGATGATATCTCCAGAATTGATTTAAATGGGGAATTTTGGGTCTAAAGTACTTTAGTCCCTGAGCAATATACAGCACATGTAGACTCATTTTGACTTTTACAAAAATAGAAGGAAAATATGGGCTTTTTATTGTGAATAATTTCAAACATGAACTTACAGTCATATACCCACCATAGAGGTAAAACTGTCATAATTAGGGGGTGATACTTGCCATCCGTCTGTCTGTCTCTGTCTGTCTCTCTCTCTATCTATAATCTCACTGTCATCTATGTATCATCTATCTGTTTTTATATTTGCCTATATGTTAGTTTTTTTCGGAAACACTTCAAAATAAACTACAAGCATGACAACACTCTGGCCTTAATATTTCCACCTGCCTCTCTTCAGAAGGTGACATTCCTCTGTGTAACCTCAATTCCAATAGCAAAACTAACAGAATTGTAATTTCCTAGTTTCATCTAACATCTAGTCCATATTCAGACTTTCCCACTGGTTTTTGGTCATTTGTCACAGCAGCAATAGGAAACTAATACACTCACCTTGCTGAAAGACTATGTTAAAGATATATGCTAACATCTTTATTGAGATAAAATTCACATACCATACAACTTACCTGTATAAAGTGCACAATTCGATCCTTTCAGTGTACTAGCAGACTTGTGAAACCATTGCTACCATTCAATTTTAGAACTTCTTCATATCCCCAAAGAAACCCCATACTACTTAGCAGTCACACCCCAGTCCTCTCATATCCTCCAACCCCTGGCAACCACTAATCTACACTTTGTGTCTATAGATTTCCCTCCTCTGGTTTTTCCATATAAACGGAATGATACAATATGTGGCCTTTTATGTCTGGCTTCCTCCACTTAGAAGAATGCTTTCAAGTTTCATCTATGTTGTAACGTGTACAGTCCACTTTTCCTTTTTATGGCTGAACAATATTCCACTGTATGGACATGCGATTTTTCGTTGATGCAGTCATCATTTGATGGATAGTAGTGTTGTTTCCACATTTTTACTATTATGAATAATGTCCTATGTCCAAGTTATTGGGTCAATTGTTTTCATTTTTCTTGGGCATACACCTAAGGGTGGAAAAACTGGATCACATGATAACTGTATTTCTAACAGTTTGAGGAACTGCCAGACTGTTTTCCAAGGCAGCTGCATCATTCTACACTCGAACAACAGGGGGTGAGGGCTTCTATTTCCTGGATTCCTCTCCAACACTTGTTACTATCTGTCTTTGTGATTCTATCTCTACTAGTGGGTGTGCAGTAGTATCTCATTGTGGTTTTTATCTACATCTCACTGATGACTAATGATGTTGAGCATTTTTTCATGTACTTCTTGGCCTTTTGTGTATCTTCTCTGGCCATCTGTCTTTGCAGATCTTTTGTCCATTTTTAAAATTGAATTATTTCTCTTTTTTATTATCGTGTTGTGTGTGTTCTATGTATACTAGTTATGAGACCCTTATGAAGTATGTGATTAGCAAAAACCTTTTTCCCATTCTGTGGGTTATTTTTTCACATTCTTGATCAGGTCCTTTGAAGGACAAAAATTTTAAATTTTCATGAGGTCCAGTTTATCTATTTTCTCTTTTGTTTCCAAATGTATTTTATGACCCTTTTCTGTAGGCCAGGGTCTAAGCAAAGGTCCCACATTGCCAAGTGATATCAATCCTGAAAGCCTTGTTTTTTTAAAAGCTTGACTGTGGTTAGGACACAGTCTGGGGGTCTTTGGGGGTCCAGGTTGGGGTCGGTCTGGCAGTTTTCTCCTGGTATCTCTCTCTTGACCCACCACATCTTCTCTCTTCTGTAAACTGGAGGTGAAGCCTGGACTCAGTGGGATTCATTGCAGAGCTTCGGGGGAGCACCTCATGGGTAGTGTTCTAGACATCACCCCAAATCCCCTTAGGGACTGGACCTGAGGGCCAGGCTGCCTGTAGTGGGTTAAATGGGTCCCCCTTGAAAAGATGTGTCCACATCCTAAAACCCAGAACCTGTGAATATGACCCTGTTTGGGAAGTTTCTCTGCAGATAGAATTAAGGATCTCGAGATGAGATCATACTGTGTTATCTGGGTGAGTCCTAAATCTAGACAAATCTCCTTATAGGATACAGAAGAGAGGAAAGCACAGAAGAGATGGCTACATGAAATGGAGGCAGAGATTGGAGTGATGGAACCACAAGCCAAGGAACACTGACAGCCACCAGAAGCTGGAAGAGGAAAGGAACAGAAAATCTCCTAGAGCCTCTGGAGGGAACATGGTCCTGCTGATACTTTGATTTTGGATTTCTGGTCTCCAGAACCATCAGAGAATAACTTTGCCCTGTTTTAAGCCATGAAATGTGTGGTAATTTGTTGTGGCAGACACAAGAAACTAATGTACTGTCCCCTTTGAGGGCAAGGTGTCCACTCCCCAGTACAGAGATAGCTCTGTCTCCCCAGCATTAGCTCCAGAGTCCCTCAGATCCTGTGAGTCCTGAGGGGACACCTAAATGCCAGTGGATGTCACATGTCCAGCTCCACCCCCTTGACCACTGCTGCATTCTCCACACTGTTCCTGGCTGGAGCCCATTGTGTCATCTTGGTGCAGAAGGACAGTCACTTACACTCTCATCCCTCCTGCATTCAGACAAAGGCACCTCCTGTGCAAAAGGGCCTCCCTCACCCCTGGACCCTGGTCCCTGCTGGGAGGACAGGACCGAGGCTGGACACTTTTCCCGGAAACCCTGATTTTCAGGGTGAGGAGTTGATTACCATCACCTCTAATGGGGATAGGTTTTGCTGTCTCTCTTTGAGGATAATTATGGCTTTTTATATAATCATGTTTCATTTGTTCTTTTGGATGCCAAAATCATCAAATTTGGTCACAGATTTGGTCATAGCAAAATACCTACCTAACGGTTGTCAGAGCCCCAAATGTGAAATTTTCAAAAGAGAACCCTCTCATTGGGGATTTAAAGATAGTGAGGGCTCACCATTTCTGTAGGTTTTTTGTGGCTTGGATTAACGTGGAATTCACATGGGGGATGAACATATCCATCCGCCCTGAGAGGCAAGGCTGGCTTCATGGGCTGTCAATCTGTGCAGTCACCATCACTTGAAAAGCCTGTGCTAGTTATCCTCTGCCATCTTAAAATTCCTTTTTTTTTTTTTTTTAAATTGAGTTCATAATAGTTTATGTCATTGTGAAATTTCAGTTGTACATATATCTTGTCTGCCACCACACAAGTACTCCCCTTACCCCCTGTGCCCACCTCCCACGCCCCTTTGAAATTCTTAATGAGTTTTGAACAAGGAGCCCTGCTTTTTCATTTTACATTGAGTCCTACAATTGATGTAGCTGGGTCCGCCCCTGGGAGTGACCATATGGTCATAGGCTCCCTTTGGAAAAAGAAAGGTATGATGCCATCAGGAGCTGCCATATGTCCTGTAGTCACCAGAGGTAGCACCATCGCGGGGTAACCTGGGGGGCTGTGAATGCAGGCATGTAGGAGTTTGGCTTTTTCTACCCTATTTGTGCTCATAGATCTCTAACTGCCTTCCGTCCCACTCTGCAACCCTAGCTTACAGAGGGAATGTTTTCCAACTCTGCTGTACTTCAGAGATTCAAATTTTTTGTCTCTACAATCTAAGGTGGGGGAGGCGGGCAGGGATCACAGCTAATTGGCTCAAATGTGGAAAGCATTACATAGACATAATAAAGTCCACACTGAATGTTGGTCTTAGGAAAATAATCAAGAGATGGGATTGGAAGTGTGTATGCATTATGGTGACAGGGAAGAAAGCATCTGAGTTCTTATCTTCCAAGAGGGAAGACCTTAGATAATGCCTGAAAGTGGAAAATCAGTAAGTAGCCTCTAAGCATGTTTGTCACAGATGACTTTGTTTCTCTCCTGAGGAGTTGCTGCTGTTTGGGGCAGATCTCAGTTTAGCCCAAACAGAAGCCAGGACCTTCCTGTGATCACTCTGAACAGAACACACAAAGACACGGGGCTTATCATGACCAAGGCCAGTTTTGTCACAAATCCAAGAAAGAGAACATCTAACAGGAGGAAGCCAGAACTGCTTTTGCTTACAGTGTGAATATCAGGAATAGAATAATAGTTTCATTTTTCTGGCTGCAGTGGGCAGTGTGACAAGTGGAAATCTCCTTGGGGTTGTAGGTCATTCACATCAAACAATATGCCCCCTCCAGGCAAGCCTTACACATCTGATTAAGATTCATGCAAGATGACCAAAGTTGTTGGGTCTTTGTCCGTATGACATATGGGGACTGACATGTTTTCTATATTTTTTTGACATCAGGAGCATGGAATCACAAAATCATAACTTTGCTCATAATCCAACATCATCACCAGTTCATAAATGGCCTTTCTTTCAAAAATTATTAGAACCAGGGTCTAGTTATAGCTTCCAGAAAGAACCACAAGGTCAGGATTGGAAATCTGGCTCATAAGGAAGCTCTGTCTTGGATGAACAAGCAAGGAAATCAGGACACTGTCACCACATTGGTTTCAGACAACAGCACCTCTGCTACCACTTGCACCAGCAAATTCTTCCCACTCTCAGCCACTTGGCACCCAACTCCTGCATGGTCCTGGGTGCCAAGAGAAGCACAACATTCTTCTCACAGGAACCACTTCCCTCTTCCACAATGTGAATCTGCTGTCAGAAATCCTGGGAACTGCTGTCTTCAGCTTCTGTCTTTCACATTTTTCCCAAGGGGGTTGGAAGACACTAAGTTGATCCAGCATATCAATCCTAGACCTCATGGGACACATCTAATGTAACATGTCCACAACCAAGACCTTTATTCCCTCCACCTCCCAAACGGATTCTCCCAGAGTTTTCCTCTTCTCAGTCAAGATCAACTCTATCCTTCTTGGAGCTCAGGTTGGAAATCTTGGTGGTATTTTTGATGCTTCTCTTGCTCTTGCAGTAATGTCTAATCCATCAGCAAACCCTGAAATCTGTCTACCAGGTTCTTTCCTTAATCAAGCCTACATTCTCTCGTTGATTTGGCCAAGCATTCTTGGTTTTCCCAAATTCTCCCCCTAATTGTTCCTCAAGGAGTTATTTTTCTCTCAAAATCTCTACTGTCTGGCCTCTTAATTTCCCTCAAATCTTTCAGTTGTTAGTTTTATACAATTGTCTCCAGAGTATTCCTCAATAACCCATTTCTTTCCCCCAAATATATTTTTTTTCTCAAAACCACCCTTAACTAAACTCTTAAAGCCCCCAAACTCTTTGTTCAATTTCCCCTGCAAGTTTTCTCTTAGCCGTCCCCAATTTCTTTTTGCTTTAACCAAATTCTTACAATAATTTTGCCCCAATCTTTATTTCTCCTCAAAATTCCTCTTTTGCTCCCAACCTCTTACTTTAATTTTCCCTAAATCCATTCCTTGATTTTACCCAATTCTTCCTAAATTCTCTCCATGAATATCACAAATTCTCCCTTAATTTTCCCCAGTTCCTCCCTTGGAACTCCCAAATTCACAGCTTGGTTCCTGCTCCACCATCCTCCATCATCCCTTTGAGTTTCCATTAATATGCCTAACTCTCCCCCGAGTTTCCCTCACCCGTGTCCTTCGGTCTCCTCCCTCGGACCTGAAAGCCCAGTTTCTCCGCAATCCCACAAACACTCTTCCCTTGCCGGTTCCACTCGCCCGCCCAACGACTCCCTGCGCCCCAAGTCAACACCTTTCCTCTGATTGGCTGGGAGGCCGTCTTTGGAAAGCAGTCCCTGCTTCCCCATTGGTTCCTCTCTGCCAAGTCCCCGCCCCACTCCTCTCTCCCCCCCCCTCTGTCTCTCTCTGTCTCTCTCTCTCTGTCTCTGTCTCTGTCTCTGTCTGTCTCTCTCTCTCTCTCTCTCTTTCTCTCTCTCTCTCTCTCTCTGGAATTTACCGACCGGCACCGCTACTTCTCGGCCCCTAAGGGCCACACGTCTACACTCCCACCGTGAGGCCCACCGGAACTTATCTCGCTCCCTCTTGCTTCCTGCTCCCTGGGCGCCATGAGAAGCTCTGACAGCAGAGGCAGCAGAGCGGACTTCAGTTTTGGGGACCCTGTGAACTCCGGTCACCTGCCGCCCCGGGCGCCGCCATCTTGCTAGGATTATGTAACCGGAAGGGGCTGGTCTTCTTCCACCTGCCCGGTTCAGGCAGTGACGTCTTTTCTTATGGCCACGCCCCCTCCTGCTTTCCAAGCCTCTCCTTAAAGGCGCCCGCACTTTTTATTCTTACGGATTGCTGGGAGCGCCCTCTCAATAGGCTTTAAAATAGGGCTTCGCAGCCTTTCCTTGGGACATGGTGGGCGGTACTGCCTGTTAGAAGACCTTCCTTCCCTCAGAGTGTTCACAGTCCCCCTGAGTTTCCCTGTTGCTTCAGCTGTCCTGTCTCCCTGCTTAAAATGGGGAGGGAGGTGACAGAATCTGACTGCGTCATTCTCTAAGCCAGGGTGAGGGAAGGGAAAGATGGAGGGCGTTGGAGAAGTTAAGACTTCAGGATAAGAGACAGACGTGAGATCTCAAGACTAGTAATGTGATTTCAATTTGGAGTTCAAGTCTATATCTCACTGTGAAGTTTCAATGTGAAGTCTTCTGGATAGGATTATTCATTCATTCATTCTGATGCGGGGTCGGTGAGCCGAGGAGTCGAAAGAAAGATTTCTTAGACTCTTAAGATCTGGCAGTAGTGCTCTTTTATTTAGAGAATAGTATGGAATAGCATGGGGACAGGACCCATGGACAGTCAGAGCTTCTGCTGCTTGGGGACAGGACCCATGGGCAGTCAGAGATGCTGCTGGCATGGGGAGCTGCTGCGGCTGCTGCTGCCGCCGCTGGCATGGGGACAGGACCCACGGGCAGGCAGAGCTGCTGCCTGCATGTTGCTGCTGCCCCTTCTGCTGCTGCTGGCATGGGGAGCTGCTGCTGCCGCCGCTGGCATGGGGACAGGACCCATGGGCAGTCAGAGCTGCTGCGTGGGGACAGGACCCACGGGCAGGAGGAGCTGCTGCTGCTGCCGCTTCTGCTGCAAAGTTGGGTGGAGAGTAAGGTTAAATTTAAGGCATAGGTATGTGAGTTATCTCTTTACAAGACAAAAAAAAAAAAAAAAAAAAAAGTTAAAATGGTACCAGTGCCGGTAGGGTCCAGCCATTGGGCGGTCCCACAACTTTTAGATAAGAATCAAACCGGATTGAGTAAATGGCAGAAATCACCGCTTAAATATTATCCTCAGCCAAAGACAAAAGAGGATTGGGGGGGGGGGGTCAGTTACATGAGGTTGCCAGACAGTAAACAACTTAAGTCTTTGCCTTCCCCATTAAGAGTTTCCAGAGATAAGGCCATCCCCCCTTCTTCCTGGGGCAGAGAGGGAGGCATGGAGATTTCCTACACAAATGCAACTGTCTCTGATCAAAGGGCAAGCAAACTCTGCTCCTCGGAGCCTGCTTCTCATCTGCAGTTTTAAAATTAACCAGCCTAAAATCCTCATCAATTCCACAGGTATTTACTGAGCACCTACCACATGGGAGGAGCTTCTGGGTGCTGAAGTTACCATGGTGAACAGGACAGACCAAGTCCCTCTCTGAGGAAATCAACATTCTAAGCAGGGAGAGGATGGGTAAGAAACAAATGAATAAGCAAGATAATTTCAGATAGTGTTTGATAAGAGGCAAATAAAAACAGGCAATATAATAGGGAGTGACTAGGCGGTAAGGTTATCAACAAAGGCTCTCTGAAGAGGTGCCATTTAAGTGGAGGTGAAGGTAAGAGGGAGGCAGCCATTCAAAGATCTGGGGGAAAAGTGATCCAGGCAGAGGTAACAGCCAGTGCAAAGGCCCAGAGGTGGGAACCAGCTTGCAGAGAGAGGTAGGAGACTGGGTCAGAGCAGTGGGCAGGAAGCTGACTGTGCTTTATTCCACTCACAGGGGCGTGTCATGATCTGATTGACGTTTTCTAAAGATCATCTCTGCCATGTGGAGAACAGATCTTGGAGGGGAAGGGTGGAAGCAGGGCTGTAGCAAAGAGGCTACTGAAATAGTCTAGACAAGAGCTGAATGGGGACAGGAGCAGGGACGGGGTGATGGAAATGGTGAGAAGTGCTCAGATTATGAGTCTATTTTGAAGAGCATGCCAATAGCTCGAGAAACTAAAAGGATAGTCATGCCACTTATGGAGCTGGGGAAACTGGGAATGGAGCACGTTTGGAAGAGTAGGAGTAGGTAGGGGTACCCAAAATATCCACATCCTGATCCCTGTGAATATATTACTTATGTGGTAAAAGGTAGATGTGATTAAGTGAAGAATCTTGAGATGGGAAGGTTATCCTGGATAATCGGGATGGGCCCAACGTAATGACAAGGGTCCTCTTAGATGGAGGCAGGAGGGTCAGTCAGTAGGAGACGTGATGAGAGGTGCAAGAGGTTGGAGTGATGCAAGGAAGGGGCTGTGAGCCAAGGAGTGCGGGTGGCCTCCAGAAGCTGAGAAAGGCTAGGAAATGGGTTCTACCCTAGAGCCTCTAGAACCCAATCCTTTGGACCCACTGTAGACTTCTGACCTCTAGAACTGTAAGAGAATAACTCTGTGTTGTTTTAAGTCACTAAGTTTGTGACAATTTGTTACAGGAGCAGTGGGAAACTAATACAGTGTTGTAAGTCCCAACTCAGAGTTCTGTTTTGAGTATATTCACCTTGAGATGCCTGAGACATCCAGGTGGAGATGCTGAGTAGGGGTCTGGAGCTCAGGAGGGAGGTCAAGGCTGGAGTCATAGACTTGGGAGCCATTGACATGTAGATGGAATTTGAATACCCTGAGCCTAAAAGACAGATTCTAGCAGAATGAGGCCCACAGTGTGTCCCAACCTTTCCCACAGCCGGGCCAATGCTGATAGTGATAATATCTGTGGGCAAGTGTGTGGTTGGCAGAATTGGCTGTTGGCAGTCTGCCTGCTGAGGCACCCCAGCTGAGGGACCATCCTCTTGGAAGCCACCATTGGCTGCTCAGGCACACTGGTTGGGAGGCCCTGGGATGGCCCAAGTGGAAAAGACAGGCAGGGACAAAGCCAGGGGTAAACTAGGGGCCAAATGAAGAGGAAGGCAGCGGAGAAGGCCAGGGAGGAGCAGTGGGGGGGACCGAGGAGAGGATGGGAAGAGATGAGGTCAGGCATCAGCAGACATCAGCACCCAGGAGTGGTCAGGCCTGAGAAGAGGCAGGGAGGGGTGGAGTTTGACCTCCACCTGAGGGGCTGTGGTCAGACCCTTGTGTGCAGAGTGGAGGTTATACTTCTATAGGAAAAGAGAAACACATGAGGCTGCTATTTCTCACAGAATGTACTTTGCGATGCTGTTCCCGCCTCCTCCCTGCCCTGCCCTTTCCTCCCTCCACCCTCTAGCTCCCCAGGGTACTGGGTAACGCTGGACCTGGCTAGTTTCTGCTCTTGGTTGCCACCGCTCAGAGACTATGGAGCTAAGGCAGGCCAGACTGCTGCCCCAGGGGCTGAGCCCACCTTCCCTGGCCTTGAAAGGATCCTTCTAGCAGGGAGGGCTAGGCAGACCCTAATGACCCTGGTAGTAGATGCTGAAGGTGACATGGAGAGCCTGCTGTGTATCTGGGAGGAGCTGGTGAGTGAGGGGTTTGGAGGGGCAAGAGATGAGGGGTGGGGAGAGAAAGAATGGATGAATGCATCAGAATGAGTGGAAATGGAAAGGGCCAGAGATTGAAAGACAGAAATTGAGAGACAGGAATAGAGAAATAGAGGGAGAGACAGATACAGAGAAAGAGATGGAGACAGAGACATAGAAAGAGCCGAAGACTGAGAGACAGGAATAGAGAGGGACAGAGACAGAGAGACCCAGAAAGAGAGAGAGAGAGAGAGATGGAAAGCAGAGATTGAGAGCAGCAGCAGAGACGGAGACTCAGATTAAATCTGAGAAACAGCGAGAGATGGACACAGTCAAAGTCAGGGGCAGAGAAATAGAGACAGACAAAGAGACAGGGATATGGAAAGAAAGAGACAGAGACAGACAAGTGGAGACAGACAGATAATAAGAGGAGACATCATAAGAGAAACAAAGGGACTAAAACTCAGAGACACAGAGAGAGAGGTAGAGACAGTGAGGGACAATGAAATGGAGAGACAAAGACAGACAGAGACAGAGATCAAGAGACACTGGGAGAAGGAGGATGGCACTTATGGTCCAGGGACGCAGTGGGGACCCCACCCGGGTCCTCTGGATTGTTAAAGAAAAAATATTTATGACACCTTTAAAGATGGTAAGGTGATAGGTGTAGGGACCACAGCGATGGGATTTTGCAGTAGAAGAGAGAGAGAATGGGCTCAGCTCTAAATACAGCATGGGCAAGTGGGGATTTGTAGCCAAGGAGCAGGGTGGGGTCAGTGGATGGAAAATTCCTAAGAGGACACATCAGGGGTAAGGGGGGATTCTGGTAAAATGACCTAATGGGATTCTTGCTGGAGGCAGGCCAGGGTGATCAGACTTCAACTGGGGGATGGTGGAGGGTGAGGAACCTGAGCAGATTTGGAGGGTGATCAGATGGGGAGGATGGGGGGTTTCATGCTAGAACTGAATTTTACAAGGAAGTGTGCAGTGGGCCTAGGAGAAGGTTCAGGAGCCTGACTCAAGTTTGGTCAAGCAAAGAATCTTTGTCAGGACTTCAGCCAGGACCTGCTCTCATCCTGGTTCCAGAAGGGGGCACACTAACCCCTTGTCCTCTGTGGTGGGATGCCTATGACTCCCCCTCCCCACTTGCAGGGGAATCTCTGCCAAGTGGACATCTGGCTGCTGGGCCAGCTGTGCAGCCTGGGGCTGGAGATGGGGGCACTGCAGGAGGAAGTGGTTGCCTTCCTGGAAGAAGAGGAGAAAGAGCATCGAGGAAGAGGAGGAGGCCGAAGATCCCAAAGGAAAGCAGGAGGAAGGACACATGGGGATCTCCTACCTTGGTCTTTCCCACTGCCTCCTCAAGTTTGAGATGACTATCTGAGGCTCTGCCAGCGTGCTTCTAATTGAGATGGGAATGAGATGCAAATTTATGCAAAGAAGAGGGGATGTGCAGGTCAAATCAAGTGTAAATGTTGATTTGGAGTCCACATGTGTTCCTTGAACAAGTACTTTCTCTGAAGATGTCTGAGATGAGACTGAGGGGTTGGCCTGTGAGCTGTGGGCATGTTTGTGGGTGATCAGGGAGGTTTGTAGAGAAACTCTAGGTGTATTTGCAGAGGAGCCGCAGGTGTGTTGCAGAGGAGACGTGGGTCTCTGCAAATATGGTGGAGATGTGGGCAGAGGCTGTTGTGCACCTGAGACGTGGCTAGCCCTATTGAGATGCTCCGTATGTGTGACATATACACCGAATTTCAAAGGCTTGGTATGCTAAAGAGATTATCAAACATTTCAACAATCTTAAAAATTAATAACATATTGAAATGATAAATATTTTGACTATATCGGGATAAATAAAAATATTACTAAAATGCATTTCACCTGTTTGCTTTTTAAAATTTTTACTGTGGTAAAACATATATAAGAAAAATCACCATTTTAACCATCTTTAAATGTCGAGTTTAGTGGTGTTGAGTAACATTCACATTGTTGTGCAACCATCGCCACCATCCTTCTCCAGCACTGTTTTCATCTTGCAAATTGAAACTGTCCCCATTAAACAACAAATCCCCGTTCCCCTCCCCAGCAGCTGGCAGCCACCATTCTACTTTCTGTCTCTATGAATCGGACTGCTCCACAAACCTCATGTGATTGGGATCATATATCTGTCTTTTTGAGTCTGGCTTATTTCATTTAGCATAATGTCTTCAAGGTTCATCCATGTTGCAGCATGAGTCAGAATTTCCCTCATTTTTGAAGCTGAATAATACCGTATTGCGTGTACCTAACTCGTTTTGTTTGTCCATTTATCTGACGGTGGGACAAAAGGTTTCCACCTTTGGGCTATTGTGAATGGCATTGCTATGAACAAGCACGCAGAAATGTCTGTTCAAGTCCCTGCTTCAATTCTTTGGGTATATGCCCAGAAGTTGGATTTCTGGATCAAATGGTGATTCTATGTTTAATTTTTTGAGGAACAGCTTTACTGTTTTCCACAGCAGCTGTACCTTTCACATCCCCACCAACAATGCACAAGGGCTCCAATTTCTCTGTATCTTTTTACATTTTTAAATGACTGCAAGAACATTTAAAATTACATGTATAGCTCCCATTGTATTTCTTTTTTTTTTCTGCTTTATCTCCATAAATGAGTCCTGTTGCATTGCTGGTGGGAATGTAAAATGGTGCAGCTGCTGTGGAAAACAGGCCTGCCCTTCTGGAGCTCAGCCCAGCAGAGGGGAGAAACCCCTCACCCCACAGGGACAGCCAAGAAGACCAGGGCTGGGATGGGAGGCCCAGGAAGAGGGATCAGAGCTGGGATGGGGGAGACATGGGTGGCTGAGGGACTCAGATGAGGCAACAGGCCCAGCCTTAAAAATCAGGAAAGTGTTCTTAGAGGAGAACTGAAGGAATAAGTGCAAAAGAGCCTAGCAAGGAAAGAATGGAAAGAGTGTAACAAGGAGAAGACAGCACATGCAAATGGTCTAGTGACACGGTCCCTGCCTACTCAAAGTGTGGTCCATGGACCAGCAGTGTCAGCATTGCTGTAGCTATCCACTGCTCTGTAACAGACAACTCCAAACTCAGTTGTTTTAAAATGATGACAACATGTATTTTGCTCCTGAATCTGTGATCTGCAGGGATAGCTTGGCTCTGCTCCATGATGAGCTATTGAGTTTCAGCCAGAACCATCTGAAGGCACAATCACTCACATGTCTGCAGTTGATGCAGGCTGTTGGCTGGGGGCCTCTGGTCCTCCTCTGTTCCTCTGTTGTGTCTCCATGTGATGAGACTGGGCTTCCACACAGCATGGTGGGTGGGTTCAAAAGGCAAATGTCCCAGAGAGAGATCCAGGCAGCAGCCCTATCAACTTGTAGGACCAGGTCTCAGGAGCCATGCAGTCACTCCCCCATGTTCCGTTTGTTGAGGCAATCCCAAAGTCCCACCCAGGTTCAAGGGAAGGGAAAATGGGGGCATGCAAGATTCTGGATGCTTGTGGCACAGGAAATATTGCTGCGGTAATTTTCAGAAAACACAAACTACCACGGTATCACTTGGGAGCTTGGTACCCATGCTGATTCCCAGGTCCCACTCGAGACCTACCGAATCAGAATCTGCATCTAATCAGATTCTCAGGAGATTCCTCTGCATATTTGGTTTGAGAAGCACTGTTCTAAGTCACACATATGGCACTGTTTTGAGCCACAAGGACCATTAGTTAAGTTTAGAAAGCGCCCTCTGGCTGCTGTGTGGAGGGGTGGATTAGAGGGGTCTAAAGTGGTGTTGTGGTACAAACACCAGAGAAAAAAAATAGATAAATTAGAATTCTTCACAATTTAGCACTTTTGTTCATTAAAGCGTACTAGCAAAAGTAGAAAGATAACCCACAGAATGGGAAAACATTGGCAAAATTATATCCAATAAGGATCTAGTGTCCAGAATAAATAAAGAACTCTTCCAACTCAGCGATAAAAAGGCAAATAGTCTAATTAGAAAATGGTCAAAGGACTTGAACACAAATTTTTCCAAAGAAGATATACAAGCGACTAATAAGCACTTGAAAAGAGACTCAACATCATTAGACATTAGGCAAATGCAAATTAAAACCACAATGAGACACCACCCCACACTCAATAGATGGCTATAATCCAAAAGAAGGACAATGGAAAGTGTTGGTGAGAATGTGGAGAAACTGGAGTCCTGTTGCATTGCTGGTGGGAATGTAAAATGGTGCAGCTGCTGTGGAAAACAGGCTGGTACTTTCTCAAAAAAAAAAAAAAATGATATGATCCAGCAATTCTACTCCTAGGTATCTACTCAAGAGAATTGAAAACATATGTCCACACAAAGACTTGTACACAAATGTTTATAGCAGCATTATTCAGAGTCACCAAAAAGTAGAAACAACCCAAATGTCCACAACTGAGGAATGGATAAACAAAATGTCCTGTATCCAGACAATTTAATATTATTCAGCCATAAGAAGGAATGCAGTACTGATCCATGCTACATTATGCATGAACCTTGAAAACATTATGCTAAGTGAAAGAAACCAGACAGACAAAGCCACATTGTATGATTTCATTTATATGAAATGTCCAGAGTAGGCAAATCCGTAGGGAAAGTGGATAAGTAGTTGCCTGGAGTTGGGGGGAGGTGGGAATGGGGAATGATTGCTTAATAGGTATGAGGTATTCTTTTTGAGGTGATGAAAATGTTCTGGAATTAGATAGTGGTGATGGTTATACAATGTTGTAAATACACTATAAGCCACTGAATTGTGCACTTTAAAATGGTGAATTTTATGGTTTGTGAATTGTATCTCAAAAAATAAAGTGTCGGTCAGTGGAGATACCTAAATGGGCTGAGATGGAGTTGGGCCAGGGGAGGGCTCTGGGGAGAGAAGGGGGGCCAGTTGGAAAGAGGCTCAGAAAGCAAGAGACAGGTGGTGGAGACTGCTGGACAGGGCTGTGGTGGGGAGGGGCACTGGCCTGGGGACCGGAGAGCAGGAACACAGACGAGGAGCAGGTTTGTGGCAAGATCACATGTGTGGTGCTGAGGCAGCTTGACTGCATGTGTGGAAGGTGTGGGAAGGCCCATTTCATGTGCGCACACACGTAGACATGTTAATGGAAGGTGTCTTCCATCACCCCGTGGGAGCAGGGCCAGTGAATCAGAGAGGCGGCCTATCTGCCTCAGCACAGGCTGTGTGTTTGGGGGTGGTCAGGCCCCTGCTGGCCCTCCATGCCAGACACCCTGAGTCCCTGGTCCCTCAACACTGCCACCACTTCGGTCTGAGAAAATATAGAAACCTCTGGTCCAGATCATGTTAAACATTCGGGATTATTTAGGCTCATGGTCAGGGTTTGAGGGTCTCGGTCCCTAGATGTCAGAGGTCAGGGGACTGAGCACTTGGATTCCCATGGATCAGAGACCAGAAGACTGGGTTATTGGGTTCTAGTGGTCAGAGGTCGGAGACATGGGCACCTGGGTCCCTGTGGGTCAGAGGTCAAGGGACTGATGACCAGGTCCCTGTGGGCTCTGTGACTTCAGGCAAGTGACCAACTCTCCAAGCCTCAGTTTCTTCATGGGTAAGTATGGATGATTATGGAAGCTGCCTCTCAGGACTGAGTGAAGATTCAAAGATAACTCATTGGGTGTGGTTGGCACAGTGCCCAGCAGTGAGACAGGGCTCAGAGAATGAGAGCTGGATGTCGAGGTGGACTATGAGGCTGGGGGCCTGAGCCCTTCTGTCCCAGGGCTCCACTTTTCATTCATTCCACAAACGTTTACTGGGCACTTGCTGTGTGTGAGGCACTGTTCAAATGCTGGTGAGTCTGGGAAAACAATCAGAAAAGACAGCAATCACAGTAGCTAACTCTCACCAGCATGAACTGTGAGGACCCAGGCAGGAGGCTTCATATATCCCTGCAACTCAGCCCTCAGGAGGGTATCTCCTTATTGATCAGTATAATGAGCCTCACCATGGACTGTGGCGTCCCAAGATCGGCATCAGGGATGGGGCTCTAACCCGGTCTCTGAGTGCACCTCCCAGCTCTCTCTCCTCACCCTTCACAAGCACAGAACCTGGTATTGTGGCCACACCAAAGGCAGATCTGGACAGCCAGGCCCCACCCTCATCAGCAGACGAACCTCCATTTAGTCCCCTCCCCCAGGATCCATCCCATCTCAGAGCCCCGCCAACCAGCATCTCTCCTCTCTCTGGCTCTAGGTCTGTGCTGTCCAGTATGGTAGCCACTCGCCATGTGTGATTACTGAGCCTTTGAAATGTGGCTGGTGTGAGTTGAGAGGTGCTGTAAGTGTAAAAAATGCACCAGATTTTAAAGACTAAGTATGAAAAAAGAATGGAAAAACTCATTATTTTTGTTGTTCATTACATATTGAAATGATAATGTTTTCGATACACTGGGTTAAATAAAATATACAGTTTAAATTATGTTCATCTTATTTTCATTATGGATATTAGAAAATTTAACAATATACCTGACCTGCATTTTATTTTTATTGACTGCACACCTGCTGTGGTACCCTGTGTCCACCAGGTGGCGCAAACCCAGGCTGCAGCAAACCCACCAGCTTTGAGAGAGTGGACAGAGCAGAGATGGAACGCATCTTTGAGGTCCCTTGGAGAAGTAGGGTCTCATAGAGGGCATTGATACGTGCTGTTTCCACACAGAGGGCCACTGTGGGGAGACAAACTCCAAGATCTGGTGAGCAGGAGACAGGCAGTATGGTCAGGCCCCTAAAGATAACCCTGTTGTAAGCCGTGGAACCTGTGAATGTTACCTTTTCTGACAAAAGGGACTTTGCAGATGTGATTAAATGAAAGATCTTGAGATGGGGAGAC